TGCCAGGCCCTTCCTGGCCTGCTCTCGGGGTCACCGTGCTCGCCAGTGGACCCCGTGAGGCTCTCTTTTGTGCAGATGTTCTGCCCCAGCTAAGTTGCATGCTCAGTGGAGCAGGTGGATGGTGCAGGGCAGACATCACCTTGCCCAGCCTGCTTTGGAGGACCCTCCTGGAGCAGTCCTGGGTCTGCGGGGCTGGAGAAGGGCCAGCCCACTGGCGGGGCCGCCAGCACCACTGCATCTCCAAGTACTGCTCCTGTGTCTTCACATCCACTCCCACCAGGATGTTTTACATATTTTAATTAAAGTGCCACCCTGGGCTGGCAGGGCCTCTGATAGATGGCTCTAAGCCGAGCTGCAGGGTTGCAGTAGTGTAAAACATGGCATCCGATGATGCGCTACTGCTCTCGAGAATGCTTTGGCTCCCACCCCGGAGGCGGGTCCACTTGGGTTCCAGGAAGGGCGGTGAACCCGGCAGGCAGGTGGTGGCCAAGGCAGGGCTCAGGGATGGAAGAAGAGTTCAGGTAGGAAAACACCATGAATGGTTTCCACGGAGCAGCCGGCTCATGGGCTGTGGATGAGTCCGATTCTTGCAGACACACAGCCCTGTGGACACTCCCTCTCAGTGTCAAATTATGATAAATGGCGACGGGTAAAAGTTGCTGGGTGGCAGCTGTAGCATCATAGAAGGAAGCAGGTATTTTTAGCACCAAGCCTTGGGGCCCTGGCTCTGGGTTAATTAATCACGGTAAACAGCACCGAGTGTGGTTCTTGATCCTGGTTACCACCCCCGTCAGAGCCTTGTCCCCATTCCCCAGACTGGAATATAAGCCACAGAGGTGGAAGTCATACACAGCTAGAGTGGCCCTTGGCTGCCCTCACACTGCACTGGGCATACACTGGGGATCTCCCAGGCGGCTGTGGCCCTGTACCTCCCCTACCTTCCGGCCACCTGGGCCTGCTCCTGCCTTAAGGCCTCTCCACTCACTGTTCCCATTTGAACATTACCCCCAGGTATCTTCATACTTCCTGCCTCACCCCAAATGCCCTCACCTCACCAAGGCCTTCGCCGAGCGCCCCTCTCCCCACAGGCTCTCCATCACCTCGCTCTGTTTACTTCCTTCAGAGCACTTAGACCAGCCCAAAGCACCTACTTTGCTAATCACTTCACTTTGTTGTCGCTCTCCTTCTGTTGAAATGCTAGCAGCTTGAGATCAGGAGTTCTCTCTATCTTGTTTGCTACCTTGAATCCCTATTGCCCAGATCAGTGTACATGCTTGGCAGATGCTTGGTGAATGTCCTTAAATATGCAGCTGAATGGATAGATGAGTGGAAGGCTGGAAGGAGGCCCTCTATGGGCTTAGATTTCAAGATGCAGTGTGTCAAGATTTCTCTTGCTGGTAGAGGCACATCTGGGGAGACAATGGCTGTGTAGCATCCTCCCGCAGGTCAGCAGCCACCACGGGAGGTCCAGGCCCAGGCCCAAGGGATTCTGGGAAGACAGTATGCTGGGCAAGGCCAACCACTGCCCTCTCTGCTTTGGAAATATCCAACCACAGGCTCTTTGGTATTGTGAGAGATTGCTCTGGTTTCTGAGGATTTTTTTTCATAATTTTTTTAGGGAGAGAGAGACAAGTTTTAAGGACTCCTAGAAGACTGCTTGAGAGCTGATATTAGTAGTTCAGTTTTAGAGATTAAGGAAGGTCTTTTCACTGTGTTTTCTCTTCAAATATAGCAATTTTTTTTTTTTTTTTGGTGGAAGCCACAATTGGTCGCCTTGCATTGGGAGACCTGTGCTTCGGGGAGGCCCAGCCCTGCCCCCAAAGGGCCCCATGATTACTCTGTGCCAACTATGAGAACTCAACCCCACAGCCAGTGCTTGGGTTGGAAATGGGACCCTGACTGTGACTCTAACAGGATGTGAGGAGCTTTTGTGTTCTGTCCCTTTTCTTAAGCGTAAAAAGGACCCAGGTTTATTTCATATGCAGAGACAAAAAGACGAGCAGGGAGCACATGAAAGGAGCTGGGAAGGGGTGCTAATCCACGGGGACAGGGTCTGGCAGGAATGTCCCCAATGGAGGACCTCATAAAAACTCAGTTTCCACTCCTGAGCCCCTCCCCCTTCAGGCTGAATCTGATTCTTGGGGTCTGGGTTCTGTAACTCTATGGGGTTCATACCCCTGATTGTTTCCTCATTATTCTGAGACACAGGGACAGAGAAACCCCTCTGACAGGGCCCCAGAGATGCCTTGCCAGAAGATGTTAGATTTCTTTTCCCTTGACACCTTGAAGGGCAAACTTAGATTTGCCTTCTTTCTTTCCTAGGACACATGGAACGAGCTTTGTGAGGAAGGCACAGGCTTGGACTACGAAGCTTCTAGGGGGACATTCAGAGCGTGTGCCCAGTGAGTTGCCCCTGCTGGAGACACTCCGAAGTTTTGGGAGCCGCCGAGCCTGTGGTCCTCTGCTGACAGAGCGCTCATTTGCTCTCAACCTCTGCTGAGGCTGAGGTGGAAACAGGTCCTCCCCGGCCAGTTTTGAGGAGAAATAAACTGAAACCTCCGTAAGAAGCAGCAGGGAAATTGAGAAAGTGCTGTTCCTTAACTTTCACTACTTTTCTTTCATAGCTCTAGTTATGGCTTTCATCATTCCCCTGGGAGCCAGAGACGAAGAGGCAGAGGGGCACAAACGGGAAAATGAAGAATGACAGGAACGAGGAAACAGACACATTTTTTCTTCTGCTGATTCAAGAAGTATTTACTGAGAACCTACTATAAGCTGCACCTGCACACACACCCCTAATTAATGCATCAGCAGACCACAGGCCGTTTATGTCATCTTCCCTGTTCCCATCTGGATCTTAGGTAGCGGAATAAAGAGGGTGCTCTTTCTGTTCAGACCAGTAGGTGTCATCATGTCAGAGGGAAAGCCGGGGAGCCGCTGGATCTGATTGCCACCTATCAAGGTAACGTCTACTTCATCTCGTTTTCTGAGTGCCGTTATGGACAGGGTACCAGGCAGGACACTTGAGGGTGTATAGGGTGAGAAATGCACAGTCTCTATCCTCACGGAATTTACTATGCCATCAGGGACCTGGAAGGACAGATCCTGGGTCACAAAAAAGAGGAAGAAGGTGGTAAGTGCCTCAGGAGAGGTAAAAGGAAGGAGTGTGTGGATCTTAGAACATCAGAGACCTCAGAGGAGCTGTCTTCTGCCTTCTCACATCACAACAGAAGGAATAGGCTCAGAGAAGGGAGGTGATTGACCTGTGGTCACACAGCAATTCCAGACACCAGATCTCCTGACTCCTAGAACAGGGCTCTTTCTACCAAACATTCCGTGTTAATATTTGGGGTTGCTGTCCTATCTTGAGATTCAAAATCCCACTTTAGTTTAGCCATGAACTTCCCTGCAAAATGCCCTGTCTGCTGCTCACTGCAAGGCACTCGGAGTAGGTCAAATCTGCATCTTGGAGAAGACAGCTGCCCTCGTCAGAGGCCCTGTGGTTATGGAGTCGGCTTGCACAGGTTCATGAAGGTGGATTGTGTGCATCTGTTCCCAGAGGTATCCTGTCGGTAGCGTGAAATCAGCCACAGTGGGAGTATTTACACCATGGAAATCGGTAACAACTATAAATCAGAGCTGCTTTTATTTTTTCCTTCCAGAGAGCTGCACGCCTCCTGCATACTGCCGAATTAATGTCCTGACTTTATAGATAGGAAAACTGAGGCTCAAGGAGGTGAAGTAGTTTGTTCAGGAGACACAGCTTGTAGGAGGTGGAGTCGAGACCCCTACCCAGGTGGTTTGATGCTAGAGTGCCAGAGATGGTGGTGTCGACAGGACTCAGAGCCACTTGGGTGTGGAGGGGTCTAGGGTATCCCACTAGTACCCACGCGGTACTGGCATGGGTGCAGTTCGATGAAATGATAACCAGTTTAGCTTTTGGTGGATTGAATTTGAGGCACACTATACGTTTACATTTGGAGTCTAGGAGAGAAATCTGGGCAGGAGATTGAGGTTTGCAAGATAGAGATTTGTATTTGATAAAACCAAACACAGGTTAGCTAGAAACATTTTCTTAGAGCAATGAGGTAAGAAGTGAGAGATTCACGCTTCTATATGTTTTTTTTTTCATCTTTGTCAACATGCAGGGCAGGGAGTAGGGGACCAAGCACTCTTGCTCACACTTGTTTCCTGGTCCTGGTGCATAGTGAGCGCTCAACGAGTACTTGCGGACGAATGAATTAATGACTTGATTTTACCCTGCACATCTGGAGTCAGCACTGCTGTGGACCATACATCAAAACCTAAGTGCCTTTCTCGCAGCTTCTAAAGTTATCGAGAATTCTGGTATCATTATAGGAATATGGAATTGGAATCAGAAATTACTTTTTTAAATAGCATTTTAGATTGAGAAGTGGGATTCTGTATTATCTCGTACAATGTCTTTGTTTCACTGATGAGTTACTGAAGCCCGGAGATCATTCTGAGACCCTCCTCCACAGGCCCCTTGCCAGTGTGGGAGACCACCCAGACTTGGCAGCCAGTTAGCCTGGCCTGGCCTGCCTGACTCGCCAGTGTGGGAGACCACCCAGACTTGGCAGCCAGTGAGCCTAGCCTGGCCTGGCCTGCCTGACTGTAGCTGGTTTACTTCCCTGCTCTGAGCCTCGGTTTGTCCCTCAGGTTAAAGGAGAGATTGAGCTCTGGCTCAGGAAGAATGATGAGTCAATCAGAAGCCACATCTCAGGAGGGATGACTATTCTTCTCGGGTAGATGAGCAGACCAAGCCCTGGATAACCGACCAAGGAGACTACAATATGCAAATGAGTGGATTGTGGCTTTCCTCCTGGTTGGCTGAAGGGGCCCTGATGTCACAATTTGTGGGTTTCTCCAATCCAAATGATTGTGTCTCTAGCAAACAAAACAAAATAAAACAAAACAAAAACTCACTGACGTGGTTGGTCTCTTAGCTCCCTCTGTTTGTCCAGACGAGAAGGAAGACCATGGAACCACTCTATCAGGCTGGGTCCATTCTCATGAAGGTGAATACGTTGCAGGGGAAGAAGATGGTGGAGAGTGGTCTCCAGTCTGGAGACTTTTCCCTCCCCCCGTCATGGTCCTCTTGCCTCCTGCCGCCAGCTGACTTGGAGATCCTGCAGCAGAAGGTGGCGATGGTGCAGAGGGAGCTGGAGGACTTTAAGAAGGAAGCGTTGACGGCCATCCATTACCTGGAAGATGCCTTCTGTGAGATGAACGGGGCCCTGGCCCAGCAGGAGGAGCAGGCGGCCCGAGTGAAGCAGCGGCTGAGGGAGGAAGAGGACCGAGGCATCGTGCGGAATAAGGTCCTCACCTTCCTGCTGCCCCGTGAGAAGCAGCTCCGGGAGCAGTGCAAGCGGCTGGAGTGCATGCTGCTGGGCAGGAGCCACGAGGCGCTGAGCTTCGCCAGGAAGATCCAGGCAAACTGAGGCCTCTTCAAGCAGAAGCCAAGTTTCTAGCCGAGCAGCCAAGGAGATTTTTTTTTTAAATGGAAGGACAAACCCTGAGTCCCTGTCCATTTGCTCCCTTCCCCCCATTTCCATTGCTTTCCTTCTACCTAAATAACATCTTGCTGAGAGGTGAAAAGACCCCAGTATGTTCTTTCATTGAAGCTCCATTTATCCAGCATCATCAAAGAAGGAGGTGCCCCAAAACTAAGTCTTTCAGACGTCTGTAACGTTCACATTTAACTGTTTTCCTGTTTGTAATGGTAATATTGCTCAAATGTATAACATGTTTTTTTTGAATCTTCTTAAACTGATTGTGTTGAACAGATTTACCTTTCTTTTAATGACTCAAAGCTCTCATGATTCTTAGTTAATGCATGGTCTACTGAGAGGGGTCGATCGTTTGCCCATGCACTAAATGACCTCAGGTTACTTTACTTTCGCTGTTCTTACCCTCGCCTCGTTGACTTTTATGTCTGCTTTCACTGTCAGATTGTAATATCTCACTTTGCTGTCTTTGCCCACCTCTAGTTCCTCTCCATTTAGTCTGCAGTCTCGCCAACCCGATCAACAGCTTATTAGGGCTCCAGTGGGTGGAGTCAGATGAGCTAGTGCACTGATGATGCAACACCTATAAGATGGGGCCTTAAACAGTGAAACTGATTTTCGCATTTGACCCATGGAGCAGAAATTGTTATGGTGCCCATTTCTCAGGCAATGTACACACACCATCCTTCTTATTCCACAGGCACCGTTGGAAGCAAGCATGGTTTCCCCATGGAGCACAGGGAGAAGCTGATCTCGGGAGGGTCAATCCTTTACTCAGGGTCTGCTAGAAAGTGTCAGGACTTTGGTTCAAGTCCAGGTCACCTGTGCTCATTCACTATCCTGCTGTCCCTTTGGAACCTCATTCATTGATTTACAGACCTGTTCTTCTGGAGGGTTAGATTGTCGCTCAGGTGATTCCTTAGCTGTCCCTGTGCTTTTTATCTCCAATGAGCATTCTGTTTCATCGAGTCACATATTCTCTCTCTGGTCCCCCCAAACACTGCCATGAAGCAGGGATTCTCCCTTAAACACAGAAACCAGGCACCTGGAAGAGTCGGGCCTCTGTCCTCCTAGCTTGAGTCTTACGGCCGGTGCCATCCCCTCTGATATTCTAGTTCAGCCCCATCCTCCCTCCTTGTCCTTTCATAGAATCTTTCCAAACAGGATTCGAACATCTCAGTCCCCAAGGTGAACTTCATAAATGGACCCTATGACCCATTGTTAATTGCAATATCCATCCATCAGCCATCTTCCCTGAAAGGCTGCATCCCTATTCTAACTTTAGGCCCTTTCTACTTTAGAAGGTTTAGCTGCAGTGATATTAATAATGTTAATACTGGTAATATTGCTGCTGCTGCTGCTGCTTACTGCTGCTACTACTACTACTACTATTGCTGCTACTACTACCACTACTACAACTACTACTACTATTACTACTACTACTACTATTGCTGCTACTACTACAACTACTACAACTACTACTACTATTGCTACTGGCTTATAGTTATCGAGAATATGATATAGTCTAGGCACCAGGCTTGGCCCTCTGAAGATAGGTACTATTATAACCTTCATTGTAGGATTCTGAAGAAACTAAAGCTCAGAGAGGCTAAGCAACTCGTCCAAGGTCACACAGCTGATAAATGATAGAGTTGAGATTTGAACCTAAGAAAGTCTTACTTCAGAGGCTGCGCTCTTCACCACTATGCAGTATTTTGGAAACCTTATGAATATCTACGAAATACTGCTTGAATGGATAATATATGAGCATACTGAAACTGGTGAGGCGAGCTCTGGGAGAAAGGATTGTTTCATGGGGGAGATTCTTATACCCTTAAATTTTGTAGATGCCTTTATGTGTTTACAAATGTATCTGAGAAAGAGAATTTGCCTGGCCAACTCTAAGAAGAGGTTTAAAAAATTTACTGTCCTGTGCAGAGGGGACTGGATCTAATGCTAATTCATATGGAAAAGGATTTGGGTCTACTGCAGGTTCAGCATGTAATAGGACTGCTTCAGTAAACCAGATAGTGTGACCTCTCTACAGAGGGACAGCTCAAGGGAGAGGAAGGAGTGAGCTGTGCGAGAGTTGGTATTTCTCCTAAATTCACCAATGAGAAAGTCACTCCCCTTTCCTGGGAGAGAAGTAAGTGAGGAGAAGGAGAAGCCAAGATGCTACTTGAGTAGGGGTCTGTCCCTCTACAGTGAAAGAAGAATGAAAAAGAACGGTCCCCCACAACAACTAGGAAAAAGGATTGGACTGAAGTCTCATAATCCTATAGGGCAGTACTAGTGACAAAGGAATGATGGCTAGCAGGGAGCAGATTTCAGCCCTATTAGAAACAAAAATAACATTGGGTGCTTCTTATGTGTCTGTGCAGTAAATCGTTGACTCAGCAAGTGTGGGATGTTCAAACCTTGCATATTTCAAAGAAAGATCTGGCTCCTGACCAACTCTAAGAGATATCCTCTAAGCCCTTGCAATATGCTGCCTGATAAGAGTGTCTTAGCTTACCTGGGGCCTTGGACCATGCCAGATAGTTTATGCTAATAATGTGATTTATGGCAGGAACCCTGGATCAGGCTGTATCAGTTTGACCTCTGGAGGGTCTGGAGACTGAGGAACTAAGGTTAGCTGTGGAGGCATTCTATGCCTAGTGATAAACCGCCAATAAAAACCCTGGACACCAAGACTCATGTGGGCTTCCCTGGTTGACAGTACTTCATATGTGTTGCCACACATTATTACTGGGAAAATTAAGCATTGTCCCTATAACTTCACTTGGAGAGGACAGCTGGAAGCTTGTGCCTAGTCTCCCTTAGACCTTGCCCTGTGCTCCTTTTACCTTGCTAATATTAAGCTACATCCTTTAGCTGTGATAAATTAATCATGCATATAATAGCTTTTCTTAGTCTGTGACTCATTAAATTTGAGGATAGTCTTGGGGACTTGTGATGCAGTGTCAGATGCACTTGATATTTCATCCTTACTATCCTCACAGTAACCTTGTGAGCTAGGCATTTTCATCCCCGTGAAAGATGAAGAAACTGAGGCATAGAGAGGTTAAGTAGCTTGCTTAGTAGTGCATAGTAAGACTTCAGAGTTCCCTCTCTTGGCCACCATCCCCTCCCACCCCAAAGAAAGAGATTTAGAGTGATGGGCTGGCTCCCTTTGGTGCAAATTCCATGGAGGTGGCCCCAGGGCCCTCCACATCCAAGGAGATGAGTCATCCTGGAGTGATGACAATAAGGAAGTGCTGGAGGAAGAGGCAGGAAGCTTGTGAATTTGCTGTCTTGGAGAGCTCAGATGCACGTGTGTCTAGGTTGTCCTACCTGAAGACAAGGTGAGAGTCTAGGTCTTCTCTCATGGTTTTCTCTGCTACAGGGCTTCAAGCTTTCTTCTTCTCTATCAAGAGAGCTTTTAACTGCAAGCCACAGGATACCCATTACACTGACTTCTTTGAGGAGTCTAGACCTCTGAACAAGATATCTGAAGTAGATGGTTCGTTCAGTAACTCAACATGGCAAGGCTCTGGGCTGGGGTCTCTGTGATCCTCTTTCCTCCTTCCCTCACTGCTCCTTGCAAGGCCACACGATAATGCCATCACTCGATGACTTCCAAAGCAGAAAAGAAGTGGTAGACCCAAACCCTTTCCCAGAATCTCCCCGGCAAATTTTCTTTGACATCTCCTTGGCCAGACATGGTTTGCTTGCCCATCCTAAACCAATCATGAGCAAAGAGGAAAGAAATCGCCACAATGCAGCCCCTGGGGCTGGGCACCTCAATTACTCAAGAGATGAATAAAATCAAGGTTCTATTAATGAGGTTGGCTGTTGGGAAGTAATCAAGCCAAGTCACCACAACCTCAGTCTTAGCTTTTCTACTTAACTATACCGAGGGCCAAGAAGAAGAGAGCTGGTGGATAGCAGGACTGGGCAGATTTGAGCAGTGTGAGAGGCTGTCACATTGCTGGAAGAAGCATGGATTTAGGTCTGGGAATTGGGGAAGGGTGGGGTGGAGGTGTGAAATGACTTCAGTGCTATGGGTGGAAATCCATTGCCTTCGACGTTCTCTACCCTCACGTGCTCCACGCCCAGCTTCACCCTTGAAGTCAGAGGCTCAAGATGACCCAAAGGGTGCCAGGGAGGCTTTGCAACCCCTCGATCCTTAAAACAGGCAGCCACTCTTAGAGATGTAATCCACATGTACCAGTCATCATTACCTAGGGTGACCAACTAGTCCTAATTTAACTGGGACTGTCTCTGATTGAAAACAATATGCCAGGAACCCTCTCGGTCCTGGGCAAACTGGGTTGGTTTGTCACCTTGCATTAAATCTAAAGCGCCTTCGGATGACCCAGGTGACGCCATGGTGTGGCAAGTCACAGGAAGTCAGGGCAGGAAACAAGGATGGTAGTTGCCTTTTCTGCCAGGTTGGTGCACCTGGTTTTATTTTTAACCAGAGGTGGCTGGTAAGCCATTCTGTGGCAGGATGGACTTATCCTTGACTTCATGTCTCCTCCCTACTCTCAGGTCCTTGTCTACCACCTCAAACTGGCAAGGAGATGTGAGAGCTAGGTATTTTCTGAGCCACTTTAGAGATCTGTGTGTAGACAGTTGGGATTTCTGATTGGGCCACATCTCATAGTTGAGACCCTCATCCTGGAGGACAGAGGACTCCATGGTCGATTAGAGAGCTTAGGGTCTGTGAATGGTGCCAAGAAGAGACAACTTTTTGCATGTTTGGAAGATGGAATTTTCATTCCAACTCTTCTCCTTCCAACTGCTCGATAAAGTTGAGCAGCCCAACTGCTCACTTTTGTTGAAATTCTAAAACAAATAGAAGACAAAATAACAGATGGGTTTTTCCCTGCCAATAGCAATAGTTTTCAAAAGTTTTCTTCAAGCTGCCATGCTCTGCTTGCTCTGAGCCC